CCTGTTAGAGTCTGCAAAAGACTTGAGGTTCACCTTCCAGCAGGACAACGACCCTAAACATACAGCCAGAGCTACAATGGAATGGTTTAGATCAAAGCATATTCATGTGTTAGAATGGCCCAGTCAAAGTTCAGACCTAAATCCAATTGAGAATCTGTGGCGAGACTTGAAAATTGCTGTTCACAGACACTCTCCATCCAATCTGACTGAGCTTGAGCTATTTTGCAAAGAAGAATGGGCAAAAATTTCATTCACTAGATGTGCAAAGCTAATAGAGACATACCCCAAAAGACTTGCAGCTGTAATTGCAGTGAAAGTTGGTTCTACAAAGTATTGACTCGGGGGGTTGAATACAAATGCACGCCACACTTTCCAAATATTTATTTGTAAAAAATTTTGGACACCATTTATCATTTTCCTTCCCCTTCATAGTTATGTGCGACGTTGTGTTGATCTATCACATAAAATCCCAATAAAATCCCAATAAAATACATTTTTGTTTGTGGTTGTAACGTGACAAAATGTGGAAAAGTTCAGTAGGTATGAAGACTTTTGCAAGGCACTATATATATATATATATATATATATATATATATATATACATATATATATATATATATATATATAATATGTTTGTGTGTGTGTGGATTGTTGAATCAAGACAGCCCAAATTATTGATGAACTGAAACAGTTTTGTTAGGAGGAATGGTCTAAAATACCTCCTCATTGCTGGGCCAGTCTTCTAAGCAGCTACAAGAAACGTTTTGGTGGAGGTTGTTGCTGCTAAAGGAGGATCTACAAGTTACTAAATTCAAGGATTCACTTACGAATATAATAATTATATCTCTAATAATGCTTTTTAGGCATCAAAATACATAACGTCATAACAGATGTACCAGGTTGGCAGCAATTCACTGGACACCATAGCAGGTGGCTATGTTAAACCAGTGGAACCAGTGGAACCATATCATATGGTTTGAACTGATCAAGCTAAGCTAAGCTTCAACAGTAGCTGATTTCTTAAACGGCTATGAACTGCTCTTTATTCTTCTCTGCAATGATATTCATCAAACTTCCCATCTGTCAAATGGGAAATGGGAAACAGGAAGTGCAATACACATACATACAACCAGACAATTACACAAATATACACACCTGGAGAGAGTAGGATAACAGAGCGCAGAAAGTTGGACAGAGTCTCAATGTTTCTCAACCTGATGACAAGACACAAAAAAAAAAAGTTTAACAAGAATATATCACTATCTGCCTGAAACACACAAACTCGTTCACACCCACTGTCCAGGCCCCACACACACACACACACACACACACACACACCTACAGACAACTCCTTATACCTACATTCTCATCATTTTTCTATTTCTCTCTAGTATACAAAAAATTTTTAAATATCATATATAATCATAATACTGAATAGCTCAGCAGTTAAGGGCCTAGGCCAGTGACTGGACTGAGTGCAAATCCCCCTTGAGAAAACCCTCTTAATTTAAAGCTATCATGCAGTAATTGGGTTATATTATTATATTGGGTTATATTTCTGATATTCTGCCTCACATTTATGCCACTTCAGATAAAAGCATCTGCCAAACTGTAAATGAAAATCACACCTGCCCGAATCTTCCTCAATCTTCTCAAAGGTCCGAGCAACAGCCAGATATGGAACTCTGCAGAGAGATGGTGAGGGAGGGAGAGAAGGAAAGAAAGAAAGAGCACAATAAATAAAGAGCAACAGATGCAAATCTAAACTACTATACATTAAATAGTGGATGTGCTTCACCTCTGCCCCTTCCTCCAGCAAGCATCATCCATGGGATGGTAGTGAGCTTTAGAAGGATCATATTGGCTCTGGTCTGCAGGTTCTGCATCCTTCTCACTGTCACATAGGAATTATAAAGTTTGTAATCTCATAACACACAGAATAAGGCTTCACCACAAGAAAAATTTCATGACAAACAAGAATTCAATTCAACATCTTGGCACTGCACACTATTTATCAAACATATAAATACATTCTTAATGTTATTTTGTAACTAGACATTTATTGTTAATATATAATTGGGGAGGATCCTTTGAGTGACCTTACCACACAGCATTTGCATTATTGTTATTTTTCTTGCTCAGCTCTTCATACTACAGGTTATAGTGATTTTTAAATTTTGGCTCTATATTCTTCCTGTATTCGTACCCCTTCTTTTCTTTCTCCTCAGAAGTAATAGCAGCCGCAGGCTTCTCGCCATCCTTCTTCTCTACATTACTTTTCTCTTCTGATTTTTCCAGCTTCATTGCAGCTTTTCTGGGTGCTTCAGATGACAAAGGAATTGATTTATATCATGAAGACTTAAATGCTGCAAATAAACAGATTATAAGAGAAGATCTTAAAAAGAGCTCACCAAAGAAACTGCTGATGGCTTTTTTCTTAGCACATCCCTCTCTCTTCTCCTCTTCTACATCCTTCTCTTTCATCATCATTCTTTCAGGACTGCATTTTTCCTCCTTCGTTACCTTTTTCATTCCTTTATTCTTCCTATTCACTTCATACTTCTCTCCTTCTTGTTCAGTTTCCTTTTCATCACTTTGTTTTTTGTTCTCTTTTTCAGCATTAGTCACATTCATGTTTCCCTCATCCTTTCCTTTCAGTAGTTCTTTCTCCACTGTATTTCTGGTATTTTGCTCCACCTCCATAGCCTCTTCATCAATCCCTGTTTTCAAGAAAAGAAAGGAGGGAAGCTAAAGATAAAGAGTAGGGGCTTCAATTACAAAGGGACCCAATTTTGTTTATATGCATAATTGCACAAGAATGTGCCAACTCTCACTCTCTCACATTCTTCCACAGTTGCAAAATCTACGTCCGCAAAACACTTGCTTTTTGGAGTTTGACACGTAAAAAGCCACAAAGAACGGCTTTGACCAGTCTTACCCATCTTTTCAGTAGATCCTTCTATTCTTGCTCGTTTACTCTCCTGTCCGCCCTCTGTCTCTTTTCCTTCCTCCTCTTTTTCTCGCTCTTCATCACTCCTGCTGTCCAATTTCCTCTTGGGAAACTGTTTACGGGCTAGAAATAAAGAGAGAGAAGAAGAAAAAAAAAAATCACAAAGTGAAAAGACCAAATATATAAACTGTTGGTAGGTACAACGTGCATTTGAAGGGTAAATGTGCAGATGACTGAAAATTTATGAATAAACAAAAGGACTCATGCACTATACAGACATCTGAGTAGTTACAGAGTGGACAAATACTAACCAGTCTTGCGTTTTGGAATGCAGGAAGGTGAAGTGGAATTCGGGGTAACAGGTGTTTCCGGGGTGCCAGAAGCTTCCGAAACAGTAGGAGATGTCGGGGTAACAAGGAGCTTTGGTGAGAGTTGACTGGCCGTATCCTTAACAAGGCCAACCTAAGAGAGAGCACTATAATTACATCTTCTTTAAAATTAAACATTGTATTTTGCTACTGTGTATCACACTGTGTGAAATAAAGCATACAAGACATTCTGTACCTTCTCATTGTCTGGTGTGGCTGTTTGTTTTCCATTTTGTTGGGAAGCCTCTTCTTTTACCATCTGCTGCTCTTCATCATCACTGTCTATGATTGCTCGGTTCCGCTTACTCGTCTTCACTGGTGAATCACATTCCTGATCAATATTCTGAGGTTTGAGGGGGCTTTTAACTGACCTGGAGTGAAGAAGACAATAAGGAGTGCTAACGAATGATAAAACCCCATTCAATCACAACAGTTAAGTGTGGACAGTAGCAAATGCAGGACTTCCCATAAAAGCTTTAAAATAAATAAATAAATAAATAAATTTAAAATAAAAAAAATATATGAAAACCATCACCCAACCTCGTTGACAGGTTTCCTAAAGGTTTTTTGACATTATAGTCCATGTTATTATCGTTAGCCTAAATATGTGAAATGGCTTTCACTCACTCAGATTTCCCTTTGGGCATGCCATCCTTCTCCTTACACTTCATTGGCTGAAAGAAGGACCTGTGAAAAAATTTGGGTTAAATTGCAGAGAGCATTATTATGTAAGCGTGTAATCACTCCGTAAATCAGTTAGCTGGCATATATTTTACTGGCTACACAATGATGAAAGTCAGAAGTTGCATGTCAATCCACGCACAAGGCTGAAGCTAATTTTCTAATTCAGACCTTCTTATTCAATTTCGCTGTTCACTGTAGGTAAGATGCTGTGCCTGTACAGGCCACTCAGTCTTTTTTAGCCCACGTGCAGTGTTAAACTGCAGTGCTTTGGCTAATTCTAGCGATTGCACAAATGTACTGTACCTGCTTTCGTTTTTGTTGTTAAGACAAATGGGGAATTTTAACTTCTCATTTGAGCCAATGATCATATTATGTTGAATAAAATGCCAAATTTTTCTACTGGTTGTGCTCTCTTGGTGGGAGGGATGACGTACTCTCTTCCCCCTGTCGATAGCTACATTTCCATCCAAGGATTTGTTTGCAAAAAAAAAGGTTTAGCACGTTACAATATTTATTGATATAGCTGATGGAAACAAATTATCGATAAAATTTCCACACAATCGTGTCGACATAATCTTTTATCGCTTAACTTTAGCGCATAAATTGTACATCAATACTTCAAATGTTGCGAAGAAGTAATCTGGAAAATGAGAAAAATGGCTTTCATGCAAAAAAAAAAAAGTGTCACATGACAGAATTTACTTCATGTATCCTTGCAACATTGCAGTGGGCGCAACATCAAGACCAATTAATTGGCGCAGCATCTCAAAAGTGGGCCGTAACATTCTATAATGTTGCAGCCAGAGACTTTCTGTGAAGTGTCTCTCCACCAGTACCTCCCAGAACGCCCTATTGCATGGTCTCTCCCAGACCCATGGGCTTCATTACATAAGGGCAGTTACTTGGAGCCCTGTCAGATGAGCAACTGCTCCATTCTGACACTGTCTTCTGATATTTCATACAATTGCAATTATTTGTGAAATTAAAAGTAAGCTGGGTCCCTGGTGGACTAGTGGTTAGGCCACAGCCTTCTCCCTGCTGCGCTCCGGGTTCGATTCCCGGCCAGGGAACCAACCACTGGGGTTGCGTGCAACAGTGCGCTCTCAGTGCTGGTCCCAAGCCCAGAGAAAATTGGGGAGTGTTGCGTCAGGAAGGGCAGCCGGCATTTAAAAACTGTGCCAAACCAAATATGCGGGCCGTTCTGGCAACCCCTAACAGGAGCAGCCAAAGGGGGGGGGCAATTATTTGTGAAATTAAAAGTAAGCTGGCCAATTTGAATTAATTGTCTCAATACTCTCTCCATTTTACAAAGATTTGAAGACATGTAGGATTTTGCAGTATACACAATATATGTGGGGAAAGGGCGCAAGGGCAGATTACTTGTGTGATACACCAACTTATGTGACAATTTGTTTAGTTTTGTTTATTAAGGATGATGTCATCACACACACCATTTAATAGGTAATAGGTCAACTGGATGGAAAGAGGTGGGAGATCAAATTTGGCAAACTTTTTTAATGCAATTTCACTTTGTCGATAACAGAACAGCACAAAAGTGGATGGAAACTTGGCTATTCAGAGGCCATTCATGTATACAGAAGAGGATAGACAGCACTTTCCTCTGAGCGTGTCATGCTGCCCGGTGACACAGCATGAGTAGCAGTTCAACAAGATGCAGTTGGCTGGCTTCATGAGTCATAAAAAAAAGCATGTGTTAGCCTTCATCCTCCCTGGTTGATAGGTGTTGTATGATAGAGGAAAGCTGAGTGATGGGTGGAAAATGACAAGTGACCAAATTGTGGAAATGAAATGAAATTTTAAAAATAAATAAATCCATACACACACAAACCTTGTGTGTCTCCAGCATGGCCTTGAGAATATTTCTGAGGATTAAGTCTTCTACATCCTCAAAAGTATCCTAACACTTATGCCTAATTTTACTATATAAATCATTAAATATTCTCAGTTTTTCATTCCATATATTAATGTGTTATCCATGAATCTTGAACTATTCAAAGCAAATTCAATACATTCAAGCACAAACAAGCCTGAATGTACTGCACTATAATGGATTAATTTGGATAAGAAAAACAAATCAAACAAAATACAAAAAGAATCTTTTAATATCAGATGCCTTTTCAGTTGGCTAAATGATTAAGGCCGACTCAAACAGTGATGTGAACGGTAGTTCATATAGGAATATTTAACATTTCATGCAATGTATGAGGATACTTTAAAGAGTGAAGAATATTTTTGTGCCATGTTGGAGACACATTCCACTATTTTAGGTCTCTTTCTTCCAGAGTGTTGGGAGTTTTTGGTGACCCAGTTTGTACTTACAACCAACACAAAAGCAGGTAAAATACATTTGTGCAAATGCTCTAACATTTTAAACAAACCTATTCAGGTGAACGCTTTGGTTTGCTTTGATTATTTAACAGAGATAACGTAGATTAACTGACCTGTTTACCCGATTTACTAGCTTTCTAAGTAGCTAACTAGATGGTGATGTCTTTAATGTTTATGTTTTGTGAAGCAAACATACAATATTAAATTGTTAAATAGTGAGTAATTAAGTGAGTAATTAAAGTTGCGTGGCGGCTATAAAAGAAACGTAGCGGTTGGCAATGGCTCAAAGCTTCCTGCTGCTCGCGACGTTATATCGAGCGTTCAAACGACAATACATGCTTACAGTTAAGGAAAAAAAAAGTAATATGAAAAACACTTACGATATACTTCGCTGCATGTTTAATACAAAGTAAAAATCCCTTCAGAATATTAAACTTTCAGTAATTTTGAAGTGGATGAATACGCGCGCTCAAAGGCGAACAATTCGGCGCCAAAATGACGTCACGTGCAACTGCATGCGTACTACAGTGAAGAGTGATGAGCGCCGCCTGCTGGGCTGGGGGAGAAATAGCCGCTTCCTCTTTTTGTACTTTTGTTAAAATTGTCCAGTGGCCTTTTATAAAACTTTGCGGAGTGAAAGTGTGGGTACGCACAAAACCCAGGAAACTGCATGCGCACAAAAATATCTGATTTATAAATTCTTGCGTACGCTCTTCTTGAACATATGCGCAGGTGAAAAAGCCTCTTCTACCACCTAGTTACCGCCCACAAACATCCGTAAATAGTCAACGCAAATCACCTCGTACATATTTAAATATTGGGTGTCCCATTCACTCGAGAGAAAAGCAAAAAAAAAAGAGTAGCGGTGGTCATTTCGATTCATCCCAGTAACTCGAATCTTTTGATTCCGGTCACCGAAAAGATTCGTTCACTGATTGGTTCAGTGACTCTTTCCGTAAGTTACATCATTACAGCAGTAGGTGGCGCCAGTGAGTGTCTTTTTAGATATTATCAGTAAGTCTTTGTTTCATTCACTCTAGTGCCGGTTCCTTCGTGAACGAGTCAGTGTTTTTAGACCAATCTTTTAAGTGAACGAATCATAGTGGTTCACTTCCATGTACTGATATTTTTCGTTCGTCTCGCCCGTGTAAAGCACGTGACTGCTTTAGCAGCTTTTTCCTGCTTTTTACAGAGTGCGGGCTGTGAAGGGGCACGTCGTTGGTTGGACCTATGGAAAGAATACACCTCTTACTGAAGGAGACTTGGTGTTGAGTCTGAATGAGAGTGGTACCGATTTTGTACGGACATGTGGTTCAGCACGAACTGAAGGAATGGGTTTGTGAATCATGTGATCGAACTGGGACTTGTAGGTCGTGAAACGAAATGAATCAGCATGTCTTCCACTCTCGGTCAGACTCAAAGTAAAGGGCGTATTCGTGCAGTAGGTCCAGCCAATGACATGCTCCTTCACAGCATGCACTTTAATGCAGTCTTTAAAAGCAGGAAAAAGCTGCCGAAACAGTCATGTGTTTTACACGGGCGGGATAAATCAGTGAGCGAAAAATGAGTCAGTAGACGGCAGTGAACGAGAACGATTCGTTTACTTAAAAAATTAGTTCAAAAACACCGATTCACCACCAGACTTTTTTTGTCATTTATTATGTACAGCACCTAGGGCAATTATTGTTGTTTTAAATGTGCTTTATAAATAAAAGTTCCTTACACTTTCTGGTTTGTATAGCAGTCTCTCACCTGGGAAATTTGGGAAACCTGTCATTACTGCAAATTGAGCTTTGATGTTTGCCTCTTCATTCACCATATAAGGAACTCTGGAGTACCGACTTGTCAGTTTCATTATGCCAACCGATATGGCTGACACGATGGAGCTTAAGTATGGCTGGGATATGCCCGATCCATCCAAGGGCTGTTTAGCTAGTTCCAAGAGAATGGCTCTTGGAAACTTAAATCGGACAATGAGAAGTGATACGCTGTGGCGACCCCTAAAGGGAGCAGCCGAAAGAACAACAACCTAACAATTTACTATTTCGTTCAGAGAGGGGATTAAACAAACTGTAGACTGCAAATAGTTAATTGGGGCAATAAATATGAGTGCACAGACTACTTAACCAGTGTACACAAATAAATAAATAAACTCATAATGCTTTTTTACTTTAATACTTCTCCTGTCCGAGTAGCCTACATGCAGTTATCATGGAGCTGGATAATTTGATGTGGAGTGTAACGTGTGAGAGCAGCGATTTGCACATTTAGCTGCAATTCTCTATTTATCCACAGTGTGCCACTGTTTCTAAAGTATTGCTGATGGCTCTACGCATAGGTCAAAGCTTCCGTAAACATATACACCAAATCTCCCTAACCCTAGCCTATTATGTTAGCTACTGGAATTGATGTTAGTCTAACCTGGCATTAGCAAAGAAAACAGGTTAACCCCAACACACTTTTCAAATCCGATGGAGTTCATGCCATCTAGGGAGGAAAAGGAGATGCCATATTATGAGTATTTGCTTACTCCATCATATTGGAGGTAGGGCCAAGGGTGCTCAAGGTTGATAGTGCAGTCTGGTGACCTATCCATCTTCAGACGCACACGGATAGCTATATCATTAACTACCCTGTGTGGCATTTAAAGGTCTCCCAGAGGAGGAATTGGAGCGATTCTTGATAGTTTGTCTACGTTGATGAACTTGATTGGATGTTAAACCGAAATGAATGAGCCCATTGGATTGATACATAGAGTGCAGTCATTGGCTAGACCTTAGAGATTTGGAATAAGTACTTTGAAGGTCTAAATAAAAATCTAAAAGAAATTAAAAGTATGTTTTCTTTTAATGTAATTAAGTAAGAGTACAAGTAATCAATTCCAATAACACTCAAATAAAGTATACATACCCAAAAATAATACATAAGTATAGTAACGAAGTACAGTTACTCAAGTATTTTCCACCCCTGCGCTCTGCCCCGTGATGCCTTTGTCACCAACAATTCTAGTAAAAAGAACATTTAAAGATCATTAGGGATTATGTCTTGTTTGAAGATTTGACTTGTACAGCTTTGTGGAGGGAATGTTTTTAGCTCTGCTGGAAACTCTGTGCTGAGAGTGAGGAGTGGATCATCAGTTTCGTAAAAAGTGGGAGATGAGGAGTATTTTTTCTTCTTTTTTTTGGTATATGCTGAATAATTAACATTCAGAAGTATAACGAAATGTTACAAACACAGTGTTCACATTTTCTAAAAGAAAAAAAGAGAAAAAAATAACAAGGAGGTAATCACAATAGAGAAGGGGAGTTTAGTTCTTTGAGCGTATCCATAGTTTCGGTTGCTTTCTGATTTGAAAGAAGAGTTTCAAAATAAATCCTCAAGTCAGCTTTGAAGTGGGAGATACTGGGCTTCCTTTCTGACCATTTACATTTGTGTATATAAAACGTACCTAATAATATTAGAAGATTTAGCACACAAATGTGACTCTTATCCATATAAATTTTTTTTTATCAAAATACAATATAACATCTCTTTTCCTTAGATTAATTTTAGATCCACTCAACATAGTAAATAAATATTCAACATCAATCCAGAAAAATTGAACATACATACATTTGAAAAAAAAGATGCAAAAAGTCTCTACATCCATTCCACAAAAAACACAAAATTCAGAGAGATCAGCTCTGTATCTCTTGAGAAACTGGTTAGTTAATAAAAATTG